ACAGAATGGGTCCTCTAGCCTTGGTTGGTAATCAGTCTAGAAGAAAAATTGAATTCAAATCAGCCTGCAAAGAGTTGGGTCTCATCAAGCTATCTTGCCCAAAACACACTACAGCTGCAGTACATGTATTACCCTTATGACCCTAATAGATTACAGGACTTGTGATTAAGATCAAGATCAACATTTGTGTGAGAGTGTGGTTGAGATTATATATATATATATATATATATATATATATATATACACACATACATACAAGTATAGGATTGGTGTAGATAGAATAAATTCCAATAACTAAAAATACTATTCTTAAAAGAGTGCTCAATACAGAGTAGAGCAAATATTATTTATTCAAAAATTATGACATAAACATGTTATAACATCACTACAAAAATAGCCATTTTGTTTCAACACTTCTGGTATCTTATCAAGTGATGGTGTTGAATGTTGAATAAAGACTTACAAAGAGTTAAAGGAAACTCTTTATTCTACATTCAACACCATCACTTGATAAGATACCAAAAGTGCTGAAACAAAATGGCTATTTTTGTATTGATGTTATAACATGTTTATGTTATAATTTTTTCATAAATAATTACACACAGAGACATTATTATTATTATTATTATTATTATTATTATTACTACTACTACTACTACATTTTTACATCACTACACAAAAAATTTCATGTTTCAGAACTTTAATGATTCCCCATCAGGTGATAGTAGATAGCATAATACAAATGATTTATTTGGGAAATTTGAAAACAAATCGTTACCTCTTGAAAGTTAAAAATTTCTGACATTAGGCTTCTCCTCTTTTTAACTTTCAAAAGAGATAAGGATTTGTTTTCAAATTTCCCAAATAAATCATTTGTATGATGCTATCTACTATCACCTGATGAGAAATCATTAAAGTTCCGAAACATGAAAGTTTTTGTGCAGCAATGTAAAAATGTTTTTATTGTAATCTATTATAATAAAAGTATTTTAATAATATTATTTTTTTGCTCTATGTTTGTATTGAGCACTTTTTAAAAAGTAAATGCTTTTACTATAAGAATGCATTGGAAATGATTTTATTATAGGAATGTATTGAAAATGATTTTACTATAGGAATGTATTGAAAATGATTTTATTATAGGAATGCATTGGAAATGATTTTACTATTAGAATGCACTGAACATGATTTTACTATAAGAATGCATTAAACATGATTTTACTATAAGAATGCATTGGAAATGATTTTAATGCTTTGTCAGTTATTTTTTACTATAGTTTTTCATTGTAAATTACTTTCTGAAATGTAAATTAATTTTTATCATAACAATTCATTGTCAAAGTATTTTACTGTATAAAAGCTCCGTAAATTAATTTGTTTGTAGAAATGCTTTGTAAATTATTTTTTACTATAAAAATACATTCCTAAATATATTTTACTGTAGAAAATGCATTGTAAATGATTTTTATTGTCTTGTAAATCTCACTGTAGAATTGCATTCAAAATCAGTAAGAAAGTGTTTGTTAGACAAGTGTTACTGACAGAATAAAGTTATGTATAATTTTATATATTTTTCTTGTGTTTTACTATTTATATATTTTTATTTATTCATTATATTACATATACTTTATATATTTTTCTCCTTTTCTTCTCATGTATTGATGTCTTTGAGCTTTTTTTAATCTTTTTATCAATTTATTAAATCTCATTTTGTGTCTACCTATCAAGCCTTTTGATATATCTCTATCTCTGTTAATATCTATGTACTTACCTCTTGCCCTTCCCTTGTTTCGTAAATTGATTCCTTGCCTTTGTTTACCTTTTTGTCTTTGCACGTTTGCATTCTTTTGTCATGTAGCGTACACGCATATACAGTAACATAATAAAAGTTACACATTAGAACGTGATAATTGAATAAAAACTGTGAGATAAGCCCAAACTTTTCATTTGAAAAACCTGTCAATGTAATAATTACTTTTCACTGCTACTGTTATCTCGTCGTGAGGTTTCTTGGCTCTGAGATTATCAGAAGTAAAGATTAGTAAATCTTTTGTAACACCGTTTGATCTTGACAATCTCTCTCTCTCTCTCTCTCTCTCTCTCTCTCTCTCTCTCTCATGCTCAGCTGCTCCATATATCTACCCCGTCTCCCTCAAATTCCTAACAAGCCCCTTCTCTTGAATATCTCATATTTCTATCAATTTAATTAGTATTTAAGATGAATTCAAGAAAGAAGACAAGCGAATGTCTTGAGCAGAAAATAAGTAGTTAGACAGAACGGACAGGTTTGTGTCAATTTCTGATTGTATAAAGGAAAGAATTATGATTATATATTTATTTATTAAGTCCTGCTTTATAGAAATAAATCAAATTAGCTGGACGGATGAAAATTCTTTGGTGAATCTGTAATTTCCGAGCAGGAGGCAAAGTAATGTATATAAAACAAAAAACAAAAACAAAGAACAAAATATATAATTTTAAGTAGTGGTTCATATATTTATAAAATTACATATTTAATGAAAAGCATTTATGAAAATATGAAATTTTGTACGTTTAAGAAAAAAAAAACTTTCCAAAACCTTCATGAAAAACAGTATCCACTGAGAATCTTCAATCTTGCCCTTGGCTTCTCTCACTTCTGGCAAAAGCAGCATAATGTTGTTGGTGGTTAAATACTAGTTGTAGCAATAATATTCCAACTATTTTTTTGTACTTATGTTCTCCCAGTATTAAGCCCAAGTGCTACTCAAGATAGAGGGTAACTTAATAATTTTGTATGAGGCTAAGAAGTTCAGTTTATGAGGATATGTAGGAAAGATAACTCTAGACAAGGTTACAATTGTAGTGATTGGCAAAACATCTTATTGGGAGTTTATTCCACAAAGTAACAGTTCTAAGGAAGAAGCTACTCAAATGGAACTTCCTACTTACTAATAGAATACATTCCTGTTTACGTGAAATAGTGGCTGTCTATATTTCTGAGATGAGGTATTATGTACACTATTTACATTATTCAGACTATTGTCCTCATCTTTGTCGCCATATTTATTACAATGTTTCGGCCATTGTATGCTCCGACCTTCTTCAGGTCCAAATAGTCTGAATAATGTAAATAGTGTAAAATAGTGGATCTTAGCTGCAAAGGTCAGGACTGGTAGAATTAAAGAATACAGGAATAATTTTCTCCACATCATAATTATTTTATTTTGTTCTATGTTTAGTAAACATATAAAATAAAAAAAATCCCCACCATCATGACTATTCTTGATGACACTTATATTTTGGTACAAAAGAGTAGGTTAGAAAAACAGATTTTGTCTTTGCCCTTTTGCCACTTGGCAAAAGGGCAAAGACAATCAGGAATGCTCTTTCTAAAGCATATTCAGATCAATACCTTTATTGCAGGCTCTATTTGATGAAGATGAACAGCTTATAAGTAGCACTTGTTACCTTTATAAAATACCAGTGTAGATTTCAGCCAGTGAGAGAAAGGGAATATTAATCAATATTCAACTTGACTTTACTTGACTAGGTAGCCCTCAGGGATGTCTGCATGTGTCATCATAGGGGTTTCAGTTGCACATGTATTAATCTCTGTGTTCCCACAGTTTCCTTCCAATTTGGAATAATTATGACTCTTCCATTGCCCATTATGAAAGACCTTTTGCCCAACAACATTGCAGTTTAATGCCCCCAAGATCTGATCTGTTAGATTCTGCCACTGACAATATCTAACATCCTCCTGCCAGTGTCTTCGCCATAACCCTGGCTTCCAGGTGCTATGCCTTACCAAACAGCAATGCAGGGACACATACAGTTTTGAAATCAGAGTTGTCCTTCTCCTAGACTGATTGCCAACCATGTTTAGAGAGTCTAGTCTACTTTTCTATTTAATCCATAGCTGGGGGGAGAAGAGATGAATAGTATTTACTCTTAAAAAATGTAACCAATTCAGATGGAATTCCAATTCAGCTCTTGTGATTAACAATTCCATACCAGTATCCATTATACCATCTGTCCACACATCTAAATATTCAGAGCTCCAGACTATCTTTTTTCACAATCAATATGGAATAAAATTTCTTCTTATATAAATCAACTACAGGATAAAAGTCTACCCTGAAATTGATCGATTACAGTATATCTTGAAAGTGCTCAATACAAGCCCATTGAGCAATATTTGTAAATATTATCTTGAAAAGATATAATAACCTTACCAAGCTACCATAGTTTCAGTCCTCAGAACTTCAGAATGGTTTGGTTATATTCTAATATTTTTGCCGCTATATATATATATATATATATATATATATATATATAATTTTGAAAGGAATCATGATATATGAATTAGACAGACCTGTTCAGATAGATGTGTTTACTTGTGCAATTTCCAAGGGATCAGTAGCTTTTCATTCCATAGCACTCTCCCAAACTAGCATATTACATGACTTGAATAAACTGTTCCTAGTTTTAGGTTCCTGTTTTAATTTTTTTTTTTAATCAAATTCACCCCATGCAAGGCAGTAAAGCTACTAAGACGCAAGGGGTTACTAAGCATGAAAGTATTAGAAAACAGAAACATTACTAAGGAGTGAGAACAATAGAAGAATAATCAGGAACACAACAAACAGCAATTGACATTGCATTTAAATTTTTGAAGATCAAAGTTGGCTCAAAAGCATCAAGCTGGAAGGGAGTTCCACAAGCGAGAAGTGCAAGAAACTGATAGCATAGAACTTACAGTTACATCTGGCTAATTCAACTGTAAATTGATGAGATTTGTTGCCAATCTAGTACTGCATTTAAATTCATAAAGTCTAGATACCATTACAAAGAGTTCACCCAAACAATTATCATGAAAGTATTTATAGAAAAGGCACGAGGGAAGCAACCTTATGGCAGTGGGAAAGTGACTGAACCGAGATGCCAGGTCAGGGTCAATAACATTGCTGATTCTTTTGGGGATTTTATCAAGAATCTCTAAATATATAGCTGGAGCA